GATAAAACATCTGCCAGGAACTGTTTGCCCTACCTGGGGTGTTGCATGAGCTCCCTAAGACGAGTTCACAGCCTGCCTGGGATGGAAAAAGCCCAGATTCAGTTTCTAGGTTGTGGGGGAGGGAAGAAAGGGAAGATGGATCTTAGAAGACGGTGGTGGACAAAATCAGTGGGCGGTAGGAGCTTTGCTTTGCAGAAAGGCCAGTGTGTGTCTAATGAAATAGCTCTCAATGAACTTCAGAGATCAAGGAGCTGGTGAATCAGCTGGCCAGAATGCTGTTTGTTTGGGCTCCAATTTATAAATGTAAGCTGGAAGGAAATGGGGTAGAAAGGTCACATGAAAAGGCTGGTTGCTGAATAAACATCTGGGCATGTCAACTTAAAATGTGCTGCTCCTTGGGGCTTCAGGGCAAGTCTGTGCAAGACCTTTAATCTTTCTGCGGTTGTGTTCCTGACATCGCATGTGTCTGTGCTTTCTGGGCATTCAGTACTCTTCTCCCTTCTTCCACCTCTCCAAACACTAGCAGATGGATGCTTGGCTATCCTTAAAATCTGACTTTGGTGCCTTCAACCCTGCTCCTCCACAGCCTTACACAAATGCCCACCGTTATGGACAGGCAGGCGGGCGTGAGCAGAGCCCCAGCAGAAGCCCCTGTGGGAGCCCAGTGTGACTTTTGGCGATGAAGCTTGGACCGCGTAAAGTTTCCCGTGTGAGCTTTGCTCCCACGAGCGGTCTCAGCTGTCTGCAAGTGTGATAGTCACAGAGGAGCAGCTGGAATAACACGATAGCCAGGAGGGAGACCACGGTTGCCCCAGTCCCACAATGGAGTTGCTCCCGAGCACTCTCCGGGGGTTTGAGCTGGGCCATATGATGACAATTTGTTGAGCCACCAGAGCATTGGCAGCCTCGGGTGGTTGAAGGCATCTGGAGAGCTTATGAGGTGTTAATGTGACAGAAATCCCCCAGCTGAGCTGCCTGATGTGTTTTGGGTTTGGTTTTTTTTTCCCCAAAAAGCATTTTAATCAGATACTGTAATTTGCAGAAAACTGACTCAGGGCCTCTTGGGGGGCTGCAGTGCACAAAGGAAGGGGCTCGGTCCTCCTGCAAGCTGGATCTGTATGGTATCAAGCAACATGCTCCATCCAACAGCCTCTCAAATAATCCAAGTGGCTAAAAAAAGCCATCCTGGGCGAGCCTGAGTGTCACTGTAAATGGGCAAATGCATAAGCTGTGTCAGCCGATTGCTCCTGCCTCCTCTTTGCTTGGGGGGAGAGGGTGAGCGGAGCCGAAGGAGCAGCATGGGCAGCCGGACCCTTCTCTCCAGCCTGGTCTCAAGCAAACAGCACGTCCCCTTGGCAATTCAGCATGGCCGAGTTGGGCAGCGAGGGCAGAGTCCATATTTGTGGCAGGTCCTGGCCTGATGCTTATGAGACCTGCTGAGACTTCTGCCCACATCTTGATTAAACCCAGACTTCCACTTAGGGTTTTCTTTTCCTTATTTCTCTCTTTTTATTCACTAATAAATCTATTACAGACAAGAGCAGGGGGCAAGAATTGCTATCTAGCGCAGTACCTTCCTTTTGGAGGAAATCAACCTGAAATGATCACCAGATATCTCTGGATCTCCATCTTGCCTCTTTTTCTGGGTATTCACTTGATGTGTGAGCTCCCCTCCCTCTACCCTAGCCATGATCTCCCATATTTTTGGAATAGTTTCTCTAATTTGGCATGGGTTTGGTCTCTTTCAAGCAAGGAGCTACCAGCTGGGTATGTATTTAACTGTAGGCCACGCGTATGTAATTGGAGAGTGCAAGGCAAGAAGTGAAGTTGGCAGATGGTATGAGCACAAAGATGTTTTTTATAGAGATTAGGTTTTTTGTGTTTAAAGCCCTATATTCTATCATCTAGAACATAGGCAAGAGGAGAGTAACTTTCCCAGTACGGTGTCTCATAGCGGCAGTTCAATGCCAGGACGTGTTTGAGGGCCTTCTTGAGATGTTTGTCAGGAACAAGATCAAAATCAGATGGGAAGGGATTGTGGTCCTGTGTAATGGGAGACAGATGAGAACAGGATGCTGTCACCTCCTCAGAGATATGTCAAACAGTCTGCATGCTTATAAGGACCAGGGGGTGCCACTTCAGGCGTCACAGACGCGATGCCAGGGCCTTCACAAATCCGGGATCTGAGTTTCCAGATTTTTCCCCCTCTTTTGCTTTCAAGGTGGATGTTGGTTTTAGCAGCATTACCATTTTTGAACTATAGCGGTGACTGGATTTGTTTTTACTTCATGTACTTTGTGAGGAGTTGTTCATGTACCCTTGGAGCCGAGAGCAGAAGTCCGAGGGACAGCGATGTCCTCAGGTGTAAAGGATTAAAAAGCAGGTTTTGGGGGGTGATTGGAGAAAGTGTGCAGAGAATACATACAGAAATGCAGAAATAAGGTTGTATAACTGCCTAACTGTAAAATTCAAGGTGAGGAGCAAGGCCCAAAGTGTCTTTGGAGGTCATCCTTAAAATGAACGAGTGGATAAATAGGTCAGGTCCGTGACTGACTGCAGTCACTTTACTGTCTCTGAAGGCTTCGTTATGCTTGAACTGATGCTAGGCTCCTCCTGGAGTTGCCAGGCTCCTGCATGGCTCAGGGCAGTCCTTCCTCCCAACTGTTGAAGTTGTAGACAGGTTTGTTAGAGAAAATCAGAGCCACGGAAGAGTATAGCTATACCCAGCTGGTACAGCTGGAGAGGAGGTAACTAACTCTAGATCCTCCGTGAAACCTCTCCTTAGCTGGTCCCTCCTGATGCAGGAGCTGCCCTGCGGTGAGAGGGCTTCAATGATGGGTCTAGAAAAAGTGGTCAGTCCACCTTTGATCATTGCTCATGCTAAGCCTGAAAAAAAAATTCCAACTAACCAAGATTAAAAGTCTTGCATGGTCACAAGGTGCTTTCCTTTTTTGGGGGGTCACTTGTTGATGAAGAAGGTCCCTTCCTGTCCCCGAATGCTGAAGAAATACCTGGAGAAGTTCAGCTGAATTGAAGCTAGGGAGAGTAACTCTGGGCTCAACTTACGCTTTCAGGCACTTAATGGATTTATCATCGCTGTGACTGGAGATGGCTACATCTTGTACATCTCCCCTACTGTGTAGGACTACCTGGGCAGAGGGTGGGTACTGTTTTTTCCTGGCTGTAAACAGATGGATGCAGTCCAGGTCTGGGAAGGAGATGCTGATAGCCATGCCAGGGATTTCTTTTCTCCCCTCCCAGCTCCCTTGGGTCGTTTTTGACATACGTTTTCAAATGAGTCATGTTCTTTGGGGGCTGTGAAAGCCAACAAGCATGCTTGTGACTTTAGTAGGAACAGATGTAAGCTGAGCAACGGCAGGCTCTGTATCCTCTTGTCTTTGTGTGTAAGAGGGGTGTGACATTTTTCTTGTATCATGCTGCTGGGCACATATGCTCTCATTTACAGAGGGCTGAGGGTATCACAATGGTGAGCAATGTCGGGGTCCTGAAGTACTGTGGATTATGCGGGATGCTAAGGAAAAGCAGGGCTCTCCCCACATACACCCTGTTACCTCCTGTTCCCCTGATGTCCAGCTCCTTTGGCCAAACGACTGAGTCAACAGGAGGACTGTGAGGCTGCCAGACCCTTTTCATTGCATGGGTTCCTGGTGCACCTGCAGAGACTGGTGTGTTTTCTTCTTTGTCCTCTCTTTGCACCCTTTCCCAGCTGACTGTAGATCCTCATGGGCTGATACCCCAAGTCAAAACAGCTGTCAGAGGCAGGGAGTGGTCTTCTCAAAGTACCTGTAAGTCTGGTTAAGCAGGAGGCTCTGCTCTGGCATGTTTCTGAGGGCAGGGACATGGCAGTTGGTGGCCTGAGCTGCCCATGGGCTTGGCAGGGTAACGCTGACCACCACAGCTTGCAGGACCAGGATGGGAAAGGCTGGTCCAAGACATGCCCTAGAAGGAGGGGGCTGTGTTGGGAGGCAGGTGGTGTGAGGACTTGCTGGTGTTTCTGCGGCGTGGCCAACCTTATAGCCCATCTTTCCTGATGGCCCACAGAAGGAAGATGGTTTGCACTGGGATGCCAGTTCCCACAGCTCTGGAGTTAAAAAAACCCTTACAAAAGCCTTTTTTAAAACAGCAAAACCCCCCACATAAGTCTGAAAAGAAAAAAAAAAATTAGCTTGGTTTGGTCAAAATGTTTTGATCAACCTGAAATCACTTTTGACATTGATGTGTGAAAGAAACAAAGCTGCTAATTTGCAGAGGGCTAGGGATGGCAACGCAAGAGAAATCTTGCATGCTGTTGCAGCCTGGCAATTCGTGCCCTGCGAACAAATTCCCCTCTGACAACCCACAGCTTTTCTGGCTCTTTGAATTTGGTCCCGAGAAGATACTAGAAGTTAAGACATGCCAGGCGAATGCTACTGCTGCAGCGTTCACCCCGCAGATGGGGACCAAATCTTCCCAAAGAGCAGAGGCTCCCATGGCACGGGAGGGAGCTGGAGTTTCAGCATTTCCCATGAATTGCGGTTAAGGATCAGGAGCCAGAGCCAGTGAGAAACATCGTTGGAAGGGATGGGTGACACCAGGAGAACCTCAGCCTTGCTGGTGTGGGGGAACAGGGTGGAAAGCTCTGCTTAGCTATCGCCAGAGGACTCTGGGGAAGTAGGTGGTGTTATCAGTCCTAAGCAGCCAGGGTTACTCGGACATGGCCATTTCTGTTGCTTCTAGAAACCTCAGAGCGATTGCCATGATTTCCCCAGGCAGACCCACTCTCTGCTCCCTTTTCCTCCTTCCTGAGCCACCCTCCCTAAAAGCAGCTGGTTCCCAGTCCTTGCTCTCCACACTGCAGACAAAGCTGGTTTTGTGTTCCTGTTTCTTTACACTCAATCACTGCACTTTTAGTACCCATGAAGGAAAGCCTCCTGCCATGTCTTCCTCCAGACACCTCTGCCAGGCTGGTTTTTTGCTCTTCTCCCCTTGTGTCGTTCCAGTCGGATCTCATCTACCAGAGCTGATCCACGCAGATGACAGAGCCGCCTTCCGCTGCCAGCTGCACGGGGCCCCGGTGTCCGGCAGCACCCAGCACACTGCCGATGGTGAGTGCTGGGGCAGTCCCCAGCGGCGATCCCCAGGGACCTGCCAGCCACCTCTGCATGGCCTCCCCGTGCTGGAAAAACCCTCCTGGTAACATTTATAGCCACCAAGCACGGCCCTGTGCTGAGGAGCATCCCATAGCCTCCCGCTGGGACTTGCAGACATCCCAGAGGTTGGCACGCCCGCCTGTCACTAAAAGCAGCCAACAGCAATGACGTGCTGTCTTTCGCTGTGCTGGAGGGACGGGGACACTTCTTCCCAAGCCTTTTTGCTTTTCAGTGTTTGAAATCCTGTTTAATTCAGTAGGAGCAGCTTGTTTTCTTGCTCCTGTCTGGGAGGCAAGCTGAGCTTGTGGGGACCAGAAACTATCATGAACTGGTAATTTCCCATGGCAAGGTCTTACCCATCTTGTGAAGATCATGGGTTCACTTGAGCAGTAAAGTCTCCAGCTGGAGCAGGTCTGCAAGGCCATGAGTTCAAGGTGTGCAGCTTGGAAAACTTCATTTTTCCTTTGGTTTCCCAGCCCTTCCTGGTGACCAGCCGCTGCCGGCTGGATGCAACACCGCGTCTAGCCCCCAGCACCTCCGCCCCGGGAAGCACTCCTTCGTGGAGAGGAGCTTCACCTGCCGCCTCCGCTGCTTGCTGGATAACTCCTCAGAATTTCTGGTAATGCAGCCCTGCACCAGGACACCCCTCTGCCCTCAGCATGTTCCCTAAGGGCCACTCGTGTCCCATAGGGGTGGGAGCACAGCCAGTTCCCATCACCCTGTTTGCTTTACACCCACATTTTCCAATCCTCTCTCGGGCCTTGAATTTCCACGGGTGCTTGAAATTCCTTTTTGGGCAGCAGAAGGAGGCTTCGGACAGGTCCCCACTTGCTTTCTTCGCCATTGCAACTCCTCTCCAGCCGCTCTCCATCCTGGAGCTTCGGACCAAGACGCTGATCTTCCAGACAAAGCACAAGCTGGACTTCACTCCCGTGGCCTGTGACTCCCAGTAGGGCATCTCCTGCCTTCCCCATGGCAAAATCCATGGCTGCATGCAGTGGACAGAAAGCCAGTTTTGAGGTGCTCAGCAGCTCTCCCTGCGAAGGTGGGTGCAGGAGCACCGCCCTCCTCCGAGCGGGGTCCTGGCTTCCCATCAGCACCCTTCGCGGGCAGGCAGCCGCTCTGGGCCTGCAAGGTCCGGCTCAAGGTGAAATGTGAGGGCTGCAGGACCTCAGGGGTGCACCGGCTCACACGGATGGAGCGAGGGGTGGTGTCGGGGGGATGCAGGCACAGCATCGGTTGTGGGCAGCCTGTTTTGAAGCCTCACTGTGAGCTAGGAGCCACATTTTGAAAAGCCACCAGCAATTATGAGCTTTTCTGGCTGAGCACACCTGCAAGTGGTGCCCCACGCTTTCTGGTCGCTCAGGATTTTGTCTTCCAGTGTCTGAAACAAGGTGCCCTAACAGAGCTTTCAGGCAGCCTAGGACAAAGTGGTTTGCATTTTTTCCATGAGAATTCTTTCAGGGAGATGCAGCCCTGCCAGCAGGGAGGTTTGTCAGACTCTCGGGGTCAAGGAAGGGACCCCCTGCTTGCCAGTCCACGCGTTCCTAGCAACCTCTTGCAGACAGACCTGCTGGCCTTACAGGCACCACAGCACTGAATTGCAGTTTCTCGATGCAGCGTGGTCTCCTCATTACCTGTGTGTGTGAACCACCCTTCTCATGTTGCTGTTCAGTCCCCCTGCATCATCTCAGCCTGCCTGAGCCCCTCTGCTCTACTCCTTGCTCCCTCCCTCCTATGCTTTCCATCCCTTCTCCTCTCCTTGTGACCGAGCCTCAGGTGACCAGTTCCTTTAGAAAAGGGGATGTTACCAAGCACTTTGAGAAGCTCAGCTGCATCTGAAGGGCCTCTGTGGGAGGTGGAGTTGGTGAGAGCAGAGGCAGCTGAAGGTTTGGGGCTCCTCAGCGGTCTTCCTGGGGAGTTTGGGAGAAGCGGATACCAGGCTGTGACCTTCTCCTGACAGCAGGGTGGGCATATTCCAGCCAAGTTCCTCCTGGGTTTGTCCCTGGTTTGTCCTTGCCTTCCTCTCCTGTACTCAGCAGTGCCATCAGATGGAGGAATGATGGGGTTTACTCCTGCAGTTGCTCAGGACGGTGTGGTTTTGCCGAAGCAGTGAGAAAGAAAGGCAGGAGGGCATGCAGTGACTGCTGTCTGCCTCTCCACTTCGGACCAACTTTGTGCCCTTCAAACTCTTGGCCTGGAGACCAGCATAACCGCTTTGTTGAATTCCCTTTCTTTCGTATTTTTTAACCTAAGATGTGAATTATTTTTTTTTCCCACCACAGGGCAAATTCTCCCAGATCCATCAGGGAAAATCCACAGAAAAAGCAATGATGTGGGGGGAGGGTTTGATTCAAGATCAGATGTGGCAAGCCAGCTTGGTCAGAGAGGTCAGAATGCTTGGGGACCTCCACATCTTCCTCCCTTGCACCCATCACCACATCACGTCTGCCTCTGACACCGGTATTAAGCATGTACTGTTTGCCAAGCAAGTAAAATAAGGTAATTAGTGCAGGGCTAGCCCAGCAGTAAGCCTGCACGTGTCCTGGTGTGGGGTGGCCTCATCTCCCTGGGTCTCTTCCTTCGTGCCCTGCTTTGCCTTGCTGTGCTGGGGCTCCCAGGCCTGCTTACAGGGCAAGATGGGGCTCAGGAAGGATCAAGCTCCTGGCTGCAGAGCAGAGCAATGCTGGAAACATGCCGGACCCCTCCGAAGTGGCCTGGAGGAGCACCTAGGACGGGACAAGGAGCTGAATGGCCATGATATGGAGCCTTAGAAAGCAGTGGACCCAGAAAGCAGCAGGATGGACTCCGCTCACCAGCCTTTATTGTCCTTTATGGCACCTGTAAGATGATGTGAAACAGTGCACGGCCCCAGCGGGGGGTTGCTGAGGGCTCCCGGTCCTGCAAGAGGTGTGCCTTGGGGAGGGGGCACCCCCCTGCCAGACTCTGCTGGTTGGGGCCTAGACAGACCCCTGGTGCTCTGTTACTTGTGTATTACCTCTTCATATGTTGTGTATGTGCGTATAACATCTATTTTCACAGCAGTGTCTCATTTTATGCTTTGTGATTTCTTTGTATTGCTGTTGGCAGACAGATGATGCTGAGGAGAAAAAGATGTCCTGAAACTCACTCCCTGCATTTGGTTACGTATTAAAAGGCGATTTGCTTTGTATAGCGGTGATGGTTTGTTTTGACCTGAAACAGTGTCTCTCCATTTCCCTCTTGACTGAGCAAGTATTTGAAAAAGCTTCCTTTCGGCTTAGCCCCGAGTCTGCTTTCTCTGGGCTTTGGCTGAAGGAGGAGGAGGACAGTCCTGGCTCACCCCCTCCTCCTGTACCCGGCGAGATGTGGGGCTGGGATTGCACACAGGGAAGGACTGTGCTTTGCCCTGTTCAGGGTAATTTTGGGGAGGAATGCAGCCCTGTGGATACTCTCCGAGGTTACAGGCAATGAAAACACAGGTTGCTGCCCTGTGTGATTGTGCTCCGACCTTGCTCGGTGCCTGGTCCTGTTGCTGCATGTGACTCGGTGGAGCATTTTGGAAGGACAGAGCTGGGGGGACCATGGCTGGGGCATGCTCCCAGTGAGTGTGCAGCCGTGTGTGCCCAGCCCAGGGTGGGTGTGTGACACACTTGTTCTCACTGTCCCCAGCAACTACGGGCATGCACAGCAGCAGGGGTGTGACAGTGTCCCCCCGTTGCACCCCCTGATGGCCCTGTGCAGTGGTGGGGATCGCAGACACAGTGACACTCTTGACGCTGACATGCACGCACCGCTTCCTGGGTGTCACTGCCATGCACGCTTGTGCACAGACACACAGACTCACTTTCACGCACACGGACACACACCCTGACGCAGACACACACCCTTGCAGTGGCATGCACGCTGGCATGCACACAGTCACGCTGACAGTCATCCTGGCATGCCAACATGACGGCAGTGACACAAGTGCTCACACTCCTCGACCACATGGGTGGTGGGGCTCACTGCATCATTTCCTCCCCTCATCACCCCAC